TCAGTAACCAAGCTTAGGATATAGGCTTTCCTTTATTTTAGACCCAATGACTAAACTTACTCCTGGAGATTTGAGAGTTTATAAAACTGGATTGAACCAGGAAATCTTCATTAAAAGCAAACAAAATTCACCAATCTACAGATAACTCCAAAGTAATACATCAGTAAAAATATACTGGGAACCTGGATAACCAATAACAGTATTTATTTAGCAATTAATCCTGAACTGCTATGTGACATTTTATGTAATGTCATCAATTGGTATTTATCCCCTGCATTATGTTTAAACATTTCCCAGTTTTCTGTTTTGTTTTTCTTCCTGCCCAGATTGTAATGATGCAAAGGAAAAAGCACTTCTCGTACATCTTTCTTCTTCCTATCTATATCCTATATTTCCACTTCAGCCTAAGGCATTTAACAGATGTTCACTTTCTAGCTCTTTCCTGATGCCTCAGCCTTTCCTAACTCTCATCATTTTTAGTGAGGTCAATATTTTATTTTGCTGTCAACAAAATCTATGATTTATTCAGTATAATCATTTAAGGTAATACTAATTTATACATTTAGCAAACTGACTTTAAAGTAGAATGAGCATCAAAGACTCCCTGTGGAGTCAGTTTGCGGCTGCAGATGTTTATAAAATCAATTATTTACATAAGGATAGATAACTATTTGTTATTATTTGACTAAAGTGCACTAAATTCTTTTGAAGACTAAAAATGGTAAGTTTAGTACAAATAGCTGTAAGTGTGATACTTCCAGCTAGTAGGCTGCTTGCTGATAGAATAAGAATACGGGTATAAAGGAAGCTAGATCCTATTTCCCCTAGAGCTGACGCTTTGCAGCACTCTAGGATCAGTAGACTTGGTGCGCCGGAGGCGTTTGTGCTGGTCTTCTAGGGGAGCGGCCCGTTGTGCTGATTACCAGGCGGACCTGCCCCTTTGGACACAGGCCTCCAAGGCGCAGGGGGCGGGGCTTGGTGTAACGTCTCTGGCCTCTACTAGGTGGCGCTGTTTTGTTCCCTGAAGGTTTTCGGCACTGATGGGCAGGATGAATATGGCGGCACCTCCTACCCCCGCCAATCTAGCCCTGGAGCTGAAAGTTCACGTCCTCCACTCTTCAGGAAGTCCTCACAGAAAAGCAATCAATCACCACTCTTGTGTCCCTCGCTTCTGTCACAACTCTGCCTTCACCTTGCCTGTGTTTGAGCTGTTTTATCTCAGGCGTGTGACTGGGTTTCAAAACTCCAAATTTTAGGGATTCCTGTGGCGCTGATGGAATGGATAAAGATGTGGTGTGCACCTGCACACAGTGGAATATCACTCAGCCATCAAAAAGAATGAGGGATGCCTGGGTGGCTCAGTCGGTTAAGCGTCTACCTTCAGCTCAGGTCATGACCCCAGGGTCCTGGGATCGAGTCCCACATCAGGCTCCTTGCTCAGTGAGGAGGCTGCTTCTCCCTCTGCCTGCCTCTGTCTCTCTCTCTCTCTGATAAATAAATAAAATCTTAAAAAAATATATTAAAAAGAATGAAATCTTGCCATTTGCAATGATGTGGATGGAGCTAGAATGCATCATGCTAAGCAAAATAAGTTATTCAGAGAAAGATACCATATGATTTCACTCATGTGGAATTTAAGAAACAAAACAGATGAACATATGGGAAGGGAGAAAAAAAAGGAGAGAGGCAAACAAACCCTAAGAGACTCTTAACAATAGAGAACAAACCGAGGGTGGACGGAGGGAGGTGGGTGGGGAATGGGCTAAATGAGTGATCGTTATTAAAGAAGGCACTTGTGATCACGTGTTGTATGTAAGTGATGAATCACCGAATTCTACTCCTGAAACCAATATCGCACTGTATGTTAACTAAAATAAAAAAAAAAAGAAAAGAAAAGAATACAGGTAAACAGCTTAATGTAGCTGCTTCAACATTCAAATTCCAAAAAAGTCTTGTGAAAACTCCTAGTGAAATTGAAATAAATGAATTCAGTTTTGGTTTTTGTTCTGTTTTATTTTGGGGGTGGGTCTATGTGTGTGGCTGAAACAAATTACATATACAATCTGGACTAGGGTCTCCATAAATAATTTTTGAGTTGGGGAAGAAAATGTGCAAAGAGATTCAATAAGTACTGAATAAATTAATGCTCTGAATATAAATTAAGAATTTTCAAGTATAATTTTAATGGTACATTAGATCCTAATCTCTTTTATTCAGGAGACTATAATGAGACATCATTGACACCATTCTCCATACAAAAAAAACAGGGATGGATCACAGACCTAAAGATAAAATAGGAATGGCCAAAAAGCACATAAAAAAGTGCTCAACTCATTAGTGATCAAAGAGATGTAAATTAAAACAATGATAAGATAACACTAGAAAGCTACTAGAAAGGCATTAAAATTAAAGACTGATGACATCAAATGTTGGAAAGGATCTGGAGCAACTCACCATATTGCTGGTGGGAGTATAAACAGCATAACTACTTTGGAAATCTGGAAATTAATCATAAAGTTAGAAAAATGCCTACCTTCAGTTAAGTATTTATCCAAAAGAAATGAAAACATAAATCCACAAAAAGACTTATAACAACTGTCTGAAGCAGCTTTATTCATAACAGCCCCAAACTGGACATGATCACCACAGTTTTATGGTGGAAAAATTACAACAGCAGTTGCCTCTGGGTGTAGGGGAACAAGTAAACAGGATGGGGCACAAGATGACTTTTTGGTGTGATGGGACTGTGTATCTTGATGGGGACGTAGGTCAAATGGATGTGTGCATTTGTCAAAACTTATTGATCTGTGCATCACCACTTAAGATTTGTGCATTTCACTATACCTAAATTACATCTCTAGTTCAAAAATATAAAAATACATAATGAGAGTTAAAGGGAAAATGAAGTTATATGAAATATATATAGTGTTTCAGAAACATGGGCAGCTCGAACCAAAGTAATTTTAATCACAATTAAACAATGAAGGAGGTGCTAATACTGTAGTGCTTATTACCCGCTGGGCAGCGTGCACATCTAATCTAATCCTAACGACACAGCTCTAGAGGTAGACATCACTTACATCTCTATTTTATAGAAGAAACCGAACATTAACATGTGACTTTCCCAAGGTCACAAAGCCAGTTAAGTAGTAGAAGTACTGTAAATGGTATATAAGTACTGAATACGTTAGCTGAATCAGTACTACATAAATAGATATTCCCCCAGGACTTTGTAGGAATTAATTTCAATTTAGTAGGTCTCTCTCAGTAGCTTAAAAATGAAACAGAACAGAAAACACTGCAGAACACTGAATATTTTGAGTCATGTTTCGAGGTACTTTTCTTCTGACCTAAGAATATAGGTGTGTGTATCTGTATCATGTGTCTGTGTCTGCATGTATGTCCCCTGGGTCACAATACAGTCTATTTTTTACTATGTGTCCCTGTCAAAAAGGTATAAAAACACTAGAATAGAATGAAGAACCCAATTAGTCTGACTCCTGAATCTATGATTTTAAACAGTTTAAGCTATCATAAATAAATAAATTCTGAAAGTGATAATCAGTATTATTGTTTTATTTTAAACTAATGAATGTTATAAATGTCTACAAACCATGAGATGTTTGGCCTAACATCAAATATACAAAAATGTTAACCAAAAAAATCTCCGTTTTATCAGGGTTAGACAACCGAACGCAGCACTGGAGAGGTCTGGGAAAATTTCCTGGACACAGGGCTGATTCACAAGGGCACATGCTGTGAATGCTTTTATTGACCACTTAATGTTTGCTGGGTACTACAAATGCTGAGTGATGTGGGCAATGATGTGGGGAGATAGACTTGACTAAGTAAGATGTAGTCTTCTGCTCTTAAGGAGCTTAAAATTTGCCAGACAAGTTCAAGGCCTAACAGCAGAAATAAACAAGCTGCCTCTGCTTGTTTAAATGTTTTCTAAACAGTATCATTAATGTTTAGAAGAACACCAAGTACAATTTATTTGATCAGGACTTTCTAAGACTCAGACCTTACACTCAGAAGGAATAGGAAGGAAAAGGCCAACCCTGGAAGTGGGCGGATTCTGGCAGATAAATGGGACTGTCAGCAATATAATGAATCACAGGAAACACCAGGAGGTTGAGGGGGGCATACAATCCAAAAACCATCTCTGAAGTATTGCACAGGGAGACCCAGACCACAGACTATAACCTGTGTGCGGTCCTTTAAGTAACTAGGAACTTGAAAAACTTCTTTCTCAAAGGTGTGCTCAGCCTCTTTAATTCACAATGTATTAGCAGTGCAGAAACTAACTTCAAGTAAAATAGCTAAAAAGGGCTCATAAGTAAGACTGAAAGGGGATCTTCCTCTTCCTCTAGTTATGGGATTCTATGGAGGGAGCTGTCTGATTGTGGGATGAGTCTTTTTAAAGATTTTTTTTTTTTTTAATTTATTTGTTTGACAGAGAGAGACACAGCGAGAGAGGGAACACAAGCATGGGGAGTGGGAGAGGGAGAAGCAGGCTTCCTGCAGAGCAGGGAGCCCGATGCGGGCTCGATCCCAGGACCCTGGGATCATGACCTGAGCCGAAGGCAGACGCTTAACCCACTGAGCCACCCAGGCGCCCCTGTGGGATGAGTCTTAACTCTAAGCATTTTTTCAAGGCGACATTCTTATGTTACAAACACAGTCTGATACTATGAGAAAGCAGAGGTAAGGTCGTGAAAAGAGGGTCCTTATTAGCATAGCTGAGGAGTAGAAAGTGTTCACATTGAGAAGTTCAGTGAGGAAAAAGGACTAAGAAGTTTTGTGGGGGTTGAGGAGGGTGGCGGGAGCCTAGAGACAGGGGAGAATGAAAAAGGGGAGTCTCAAGCCACAGTGAGAGTAAGATGTCAGGGCAGGCGAATGGAAGCAGGGACTGTGCTAATTCTACCTGCCGATGAGAGAAGGTAGGACAGAGTATCTATGATGACGTATTAAGAGAGCACAAGCCCGAGGCTGGCAAGGCGGCAACCTCTATTGTCCCTGTGGACTCACGGGAGAGAGGTGGCTAGCTATTTGAACCAGCCTGCATACAGGAGAGACTGGGGACTCAAAGTAGGGAAGGATCATTTGTGTTTGTTTGTTTGTGTTTTTTTTAGGGAACAGAAGAGGAACAGGAGGAAAGAAGCCAAGACTGAGAAGAGAAAGGTGGGCTCTAAGTGCATTATGGGTGTTTCATGATAATTTATTAAAGGTGAACTGGCAATGTTCATCACTACAGGAAGGTACTGGATAAATATGCATATGGTGAAACCCAGCACACTCAAATTGACCCCTGCTACTACTAATTCCAAGTAATCCCAACCCTTGACCACCTTTATCTCCATAATAAAAGTGTGCTGAGGGGATTAGAATACCATGGATGGGAAGAACAGGAGTTATCTTTGTTTGGAGATATAAGAGCGCTTCCTTTTTACTCTAAAGGGTAGCAATACTTAGGAAACTTTAAATGTCACCAAGGACAAGAATGGGATAACCCAGACCCCCCCTTGACCATTTTGATCCCAAAAGCAACGGCCCCAGTGGCTTTTTTTAAGCCACTAAGACTGTCTCAGCCTCTTCCTTAATGACTTCTCGGCCTCCTCTAGAGAAGGTCATCACTTGTCCCAGGAAAAGAAGGTTTTAAAGGGAAAAGAAAGGATTTCAAAGGGAAAAGTGATCCATTTGGAAAACAACCAGAGAAAAGGGGGAGGAGGAAGATTTGGTGGGAGCCAAAAGCAAAACCAAAAACCCAATGGAGAAATGGGAGATAAGTAAATACGTCATTCTGAAAGATAAGAGAGAGGTTATGTATAATTTAGACAGATGCCCATGGAGGCCCTTAGCTCAAGTGTCTGGGCAACAATATTTTTGGAAATATCTAGATAGATAAAGACAAGCGGTACTGTACTCTTTAAAAAGAGATAATATACTATTTTCAACGAAGCTCACAAAGCTCCCGCTACTAATCAGTCAGGGAATGCAGGTGACCACATCCCATTCTGACAGGTAGGGTCGCTGAGGTAAAATGTCAGTTGAAAACTAAAATATGGGGGCGCCTGGGGCTCAGTCAGCTAAGCGTCTGCCTTCGGTTCAGGTCATGATCCCAGGGTTCTCGTATCAAGCCCTGCATCAGGCTCCCTGCTCAGTGAGGAGCCTGCTTCTCTCTCTCTGCTGCTCCCCCTGCTTGTGCTCTCTCTCACTCTCGCTCTCTCAAATAAATAAATAAAATCTTTAAAAAAAAAAGAAAACTAAAATATGGTCTTTCATTTTTTTTTTAGATGAAGACCCGGCATATTGAACAAAGGTACATATCCCAATTATTTGGTATCCTTTAAGACAAATATGGAAACAAACACAAGCAATGATTTCCTGTCTGAAGAACAAATTGTTCCTTCTTAGTTCAGGGTGAAATGTAAATAATGTCACTGAGTGGGAATTATCAACAGTAAAGTTATGAAATTATTACTATAGTTAAGCCTCTCTTCTCAAAAATATGAATTAATAAATGGCAATCTATTTTGGGCCTTGAATACATTCAAGTTAGACCCAAAGGTCCTGAACTTATTCTCTCATATGACAAATATTTCTGCAAGAATTGATGAGGTTCTAGATATTTAGGATGCAGTACTGAACAAGATTAAGTATCCATCCCTCACGGAGCTTACATTTAGTGCAAAAGAGAAATATCAGATATAAAAAAGAGAGACGAAAATCTCTATTTTCTGTGATGCTTATCAGCATGAATTGATAAATTCCCGTATTATCACTAATCTAGTGCAGACAAAGAAAAAGAAATCACATTAAGTATGATTCAATCCTACAAAAACTTATTGGATACAATAATTTGAGAGGTTTTATGTATGAAGTTTCCAGTCAATAAGAACAGAGACTTCTGACTTCAGTAACACAGTCACATACTCATTTCTACCAAGGAATTCAGTCTTTTGTCGAACAGACAGCTAGTGAATTAGATTAAAATAATTTTTTGAAGTTATGCATATCTTAGAACTCACTAGGTGGAGCTGGCTTTTCGGATGCAGAAAAAAATTTTTGTTGTTGTTAAACAATGGAATATTATGAACTACAGATATGAAACTGAAGCCAGGAAAAATACTTTGAAAGGTTATAGGTCTCCTGCTATGATAATAACATTTCTTGAAATTTTAGTCACGTAGTTCCTCATACATATGTTGTCAGCTCTATTAAGTTTGAGTCCATGACCTGTGAAAGAATCTGCTTTGAAAGAACTTTTAGGCATCCTGTTCAAAAGCAGAATTTGAAAATTAATGGGAAATTTACTCTTTGCTCTTTTTGGGAGAAAATCAGGGATATGGTGGTAACAAGCTCATGCTCTCCCAAGCATGCTAGGCTTCTCTCTACCCTCTTAACTCTATTGTAGAATTAATACAGATTATGTGAGAGTATAAATCACTTAGAAGTAAAGACAGTTAAGAAGTAAATGTTGTTGGGCGCCTGGGTGGCTCAGTTGGTTAAGCGACTGCCTTCGGCTCAGGTCATGATCCTGGAGTCCCTGGATCGAGTCCCGCATCGGGCTCCCTGCTCGGCAGGGAGTCTGCTTCTCCCTCTGACCCTCCCCCCTCTCATGTGCTCTCTCTCATTCTCTCTCAAATAAATAAATAAAATCTTTAAAAAAAAAAAAAAAGAAGTAAATGTTGTTCTTAACTCCTTAATGTTCCAGTTCATACTATATTTCTTAAAAATATAATTTTTATTTTAATTTCATCATAAATGAATATTTTCTAATAAAAAATTTAACTATATAGATAAAGCCCAAGTCCTTCCTGAACACAACCCAATCTCTCTTTCCTCCTCAAGAGTTTTTAGTATAATGGGTATCCTCTCAGACTTTCTCCAAGCATATCCATAAATGTGTGTATGTGTACTTTTTCACTTATTGTGTCTCAGAGATCTTTCTAATAAGTCAGTACATTGCTTGTTTTTTTCTCATTAAAAAAAAAAAGCGATTACATCATATGTCATAGTAAGGGTGTACCAGCTGATGTTGCTATATTTTATTAACGGACATTTAGGTTGTTTATACAGTTTTCCAACACTGTTATTAAACAACACTGCAATGAGCATCCTTGTGCATGGATATGACTAGTTTGGCGGAATAGATACATTCCTCTGCTTTTCTAGGGAAATAAATTCCCACATAATAAAATTCCCTGCTTCATTCAATATATGCTCCCTGGCCATAAAGATTTTCAGCAAACATACAAGATGGTTTCCTCCTATCTTTCCAATTATTCCCGTAACTGGCTAAACTGAAATACTAAATGATGGACCACAGGCTTTAATCTTGCAAGCAACCTCTCCGTCTTCCTTTCTCTTCTCTTTAAGGGGAGCAACTAGAAATAACCTCTGATTAATCCCAATCACAAGGCTCACACATGCAAGGAAGACACAATAAGAGGAAGTCAAAATAACAGGAATAAGCTGTTTCCCTTTTTTATTTGTTTTAGTTTCAGGCTGAATAAATGCAGTGAAATTCCCCATTGCTATAATCTTTTGTGAAGCCTCTCCCCAACTGCTAGAGAACTGTGTGTTTTACAAGCTGAGTTCCTCCTTTCTTGCCTCAAAGGCATACGAAAAACAGGCCACAGGAAGATGTCAGTTAAATGAGAAATTGGCTTATTTTTTGGAACTTTTACTCTCGAACCACTAAATGCCATAATTTGTAATATGAATGATGATGTGGTAAAATCTGTATAGCAAGTAGCTGATATCAGACAACTACTCTTAAGAGGTAGCTGTTTTTTGGGGGGCTCAATGTTTTTCTGAATGCAACAACAATGTTCAACCACTTAAGAATGCAGTCCTTTTTTTTTTTTTTTTTTTTAATATAAATATCCTATTTAGAAACAGTCCATATATGACCAGGCTTTCCTGCTTCTTTTGGCTCTTTTCTGCCAGAGTACCCACCACTGAACCTGGTATATCCCTTTCACTAATTTCATTCTCTTCCCGGGGCAGAACATTTTTGGGAGCTCCTACTATTCTTAAAGGAACCAAGCCAAGGGGAGGCAAGGAAGAGGTATTTTGAGATGTATTTCTGGCTTCACCAGCTGCAACTTAATACTGTTTCTTCCTTTTTTTTTTTTTTCTATGCCCACTGTTCTGTGCCTTATTTTTTCATTCACTATATCTTGGAGAATGTTATACATAAAGATCTATCTCTCATTCTCTTTAATGGTTGCATAGTATTCTATTGTATAATCATACCACAATTTACTTGGCTGGAACCCTACTAACAGACACCTAAGTTGTTTCCAGCATTTTTTTTTTTTTTTAAGATTTTATTTATTTATTTGACAGAGAAAGACACAGTGAGAGAGGGAACACAAGCAGGGGGAGTGGGAGAGGGAGAAGCAGGCTTCCCGCTGAGCAGGGAGCCCGATACGAGGCTCGATCCAAGGACCCTGGGATTATGACCCAAGCCGAAGGCAGATGCTTAATGACTGAGCCACCCAGGCGCCCCTGTTTCCAGCATTTTGCTGCTATGACCAATATTGCAATAAATATCCTTACACATACACTTTATTGGATGGGTCTAAGTACATTTGTAGGATAAATCTCTAAAAGTGGGTCATGAAACTAGGTTAGGAGGATCACAATCATGAAACTAGGTTAGTAGCATTTAATGAAAAATAAAGTATAAAAGACAAGAAAATAGTATAATATAGCATGGTATAGTATAAATATTATAGTAAAACAAAGTTAGTATACATTTTGGTGAAATTTTTGTTTTAGTTAATTCATGTATGTTGGTGTCTATGTGTGGCCTGGATTGTGGCAGAACAATGGAATGTATTTCAAAACTGTTTGAAAGATACCTTTTTAGACTCTGGTATGATAAACAGTATCTTTATCATAGCTTTCTTTCTTCTTCCTCTAAGCTCTATGAACTTTTTATTGTATAGCTTGGGAACTTAGGTTGGTTTTTCAGGCAGAGACAATTGAGTTATTTAGGGTGGGTTGGAAAAAGAATATATTAACAGGAACAACAAATAGGTTAGAATTTAATTATAGTTCTAATTAGCTCTAACATCTTTCCCTATAAAGTGAATAATATGTAACTAAATTATCTTCTTAGGGCATGACTGTTAATAAACAGAAATTTGAACAAGAAGCTGTTGTATAGGGGCGCCTGGGTGGCTCAGATGGTTTAGCCTCTGCCTTCGGCTCAGGTCATGATCCCAGGATCCTGGGATCGAGTCCCACATTCAGCTCCCTGCTCAGTGGAGAGCCTGCTTCTCCCTCTCCGTCTGCACCTCCCCCTGCTCATGCTCTCTCTCTCTCTGTATCTCTCTGTCTCAAATGAATAAATAAAAAAAAATCTTAAAAAAAAAAGAAGATGTTGTATAAGATTACTATATTTAAAAGCAAATGTTTCTGATTTCAAAGTAATTTACATATAATACAGAAGTTTTGGAGAAAAAAATTAAAATGTGCATATGATTCCACTACCCAGGGACAACCACTATTAATACTAAAACTACAGAGTTCAGGGGTGCCTGGGTCGCTCAGTCAGTTAATTGTCTGACTCTTGATTTCAGCTCAGGTCATGATCTCAGGGTTGTGAGATCAAGCCCCGCCTTGGCCTCTGTGCTGGGCATGGAGTCTGCTTAAGATTTCTCTCTCTCCCTCTGTCCCTCCCCGTCCCCCCGCTCCACTTGTGCATATACGGACACTCTTTCTCTCTCTAGAAAAAAATAAATAAAAATAAAACTACAAATTTCAATCTTATTTGTTTGAGTCCTTTTCTTGTATATACACACATGCACACGTTATTCTTAAAATCAAGATTAGAAGATATATTTAATGTTATGCACTGCTTTGCAAATTTAATATTACACTGTAGGAACATTACCATGTCATTAAAACGTCTTCATATGCATCATGTTTTGTTTTGTTTTTTTTAAGATTTTATTTATTTTACAGAGAGAGAGAGAGAGGGAACACAAGCAGAGGGGAAGAGAAGAGGGAGAGGGAGAAGCAGGCTCCCCACTGAGCAGGGAGCCCGACGTGGGGCTTGATCTCCAGGACCCTGGCAGATGCTTAACCGACTGAGCCACCCAGGCACCATTTATTTACATAGCTACATAAAATAGCTATGTAAAATAGCTACCTAACAATCCACCATGTGGATGTATAACCTAATTCATGTAGCCATTAAGCAAAGGCTACTTTTTATAAAGAATTAATTGGAACTAGAACAATATAACTATGTTATCATGAGCTGTTTGGGGAGTAATTGGGAGTAACTTATAGAAAATTTTT